TCACTTCATCTCTGACAGCCCCTTTCCTCTGAGTTCACTCTGTCATAGGTTCACAGGCACTATCTCCTTGATGACCTATATGTTTGTTCTCTTCTCTTTAGGCTTGAATGACAAAGAAAATTCCCAGCCTCAAGTTCAACCTCTCACTCTGGAACTTGTGGGTTCAATAAATACTTATCAACTGACTCACTTAAAGATGGGAGATGGTGACATCTATGGCCCTGTATTTCCCTGTTCAAAACATTTTACTGTGCTATTTTCAGTCTGATTTACCAGGCCTTCCACAGTCAACTTCTCTAGTCTCACTTCTTCCTTACACATAGATTATTTTTCAGTCAAAGTGGACAACTCATAGTGCCCTGATAGTCCGTAGACCTGCCTGTCTCCATGTTTTTGCTAGGCTTGTTCCTTCCACCTGAACTCTTCTCTTTCAGTTACTCACACAGTTAAAACCCTATGCCTCCTCTAAGACCCATGCCACTTCCTTCATGAAGCCTTCCCAGATTTCCTGAGGGAGTGGGTTCTCTTTTTTCTTTGAATCTCCACAGCACTTTGACTCTCCTTTGAAGCTTATAACCTGCTTTGTCACCATTTTATAATGTAAGCACCAAGAGGGCAATGTTCCTTTGTAACCCTCTCTCTCACCCCCTAAACAGAGCTTTTCATATAGTAGGTGCTCAATAAACAATCAAGTGAAATGAAGCCTGCAGTTTGGGCTGCTGGGGGCTGAAGAAGTTGGGAACGGCACGCTCAGAGGTTTCAGGTGACTACAGGAGTGGCTCAGAGTGGGGAGGCAAGGACTGTACAGAGAGGTGAGTGGGGACCCTCTGAGGGGACACTCAGACCTTTGCCTGGGGAGGAGGAGTACTTTACCGAAGAGAACAGGCAGGTCGGGGCGGTGGTGGTGGTGGGGCCTTGGAGATATCGTGGGTTGAGGTAAAGATCCTGGTATTAGGGGAACTTCAGGTTTGCCCCAGCGCAGGGTGTGATGGTCTCTCAACTGTCTTTAATAACAGGCAGAAAAAGGGGGTGGGTAGGAATCTGGAGGATCAAATTCTGGTCATTTGTCTTTTGCCCTCTAGCTGTGTAGCCTTGGGCAAGTTACTCCCCCTCTCTGGGCCTATTCATCTGTAAAATAGTTACCTGACCTCTTATGACCCTTTCAGCTCTGACTCCAGGCCAAGGTTCTGAAGTAGAGGGGTACTGATCAATGGAGACCCCCCTCAGGCCTGAGCACCAGGAATGACTCCCATCTAAGGTTCTGTACGAGAGGTGACAGAGTCCAATGCCATGAAGAAGGAGACATGTGGCCTGGGTCAGCAGTGCTGTCTCAGAGGATGTGGAAGTGGGGAGCAGAGAGAGACAACACCCCCATTCAAGGTAAGGTGCCCAGGGTAGGTTATCAGGCCCTAGGGAAGAGTTTTCAGGGACCACCCTGCTTCCTTCGCTGTGCTTCCCTGTCTTCTTCCTTATCCCATCCCCAGACTTAGTCAATACAGATCTGGGATTCAAATCCCAGCTGCTCAGCTTCATGGCTCTGAGAAATTCAGTTAACCTCTCTGAGCCTCAGTTTCCACATGTGTAGATGGAGGTATTGAAACTAACTCAAAGGATAGTTGTGAAATCTCTCCTGTGAATGTGCCCGGTTCTAGGTCTACTGCTAGGTCGCCTTCCCTGTCCGAGTCTGGAAAAGGACCCCTGGCACGGATTGCCCCTCAGGCCACAGAGCAAACGGTCAATGGTGCTCTGCAGCTGCACTGGGGGTGGGGCAGGCTTTTGCAGGGGCCGATGCTGAGGAAGTTGGATGGGAAAAACAGACAGGGGATTATTGCCCCAGCAGCCCCTGGTGCTAGTGAGGAAGGGCGACTCTGTCCATAGACCTGCTTATTGTGCAACCACCAAAGGCCCGGCAGCTCTCTGGGAATTTTTCTTCAGGGGTCCAGCATGGAGCCCAGCTGATAGATGGGGGGTGGGTAGCACGGGGAAGGCTCCCCCGTCTCATAGCAGGCCTGGCCTGCACATGCACTGTGGGTGTTCCTGTCACTCTTTTGAGCCTGGTTCATCCAAGGCCCCCAGTTTCTAATCTGGTTGGGAAGGATTTATTTTTGGGTCCCTGTAACCTAGCAATGGGCTCACATGACCAGTGGCAGCTGCAGGCTGAATATACTGTCGGATCTTGGCTCCTGGCAGGGGTGTAGGCCAGACTGTGGGGGAATAAAGGGAATGGAAAGGCTTTCACCTCTGCTTTCCTCCAACTCCCTTTGCAGCCTCTCAGCCTGGCCGCAGATGGCGGGCAGGGGGTGGCTGTCTGGGGAGCAGCCAGGGCTGGCGCTGGCACAGGGAGCTCTGGACAGCCGGGAGCTGTGTTGCGGTGGGGAGGTCCCAGCTGTGAGCCAGCTCTCCACGTGGGGAGGGTTGGGAGTCCATGTGGGTAGTGGTGGGTGCAGGGAGGGCGCCGTGTCGGCATCCTGCAGGGTGAGGCCAGTGTTTGTAGGATCTCAGGGACACCCCTGGTTGATGCTGGAATCCCAACATCCAGCTTCTTTCCCTTTGTTCCCTGTTAAATTGTTAATATTCCTGGGAGAGGGAACACATTAAGCTGCTATCAGTGTGAATGGATTTATTAGCCTCTTTCATGAGAGCAGGTTTTGACAGAGGCAGAGAGAGCAGAGAAGGGGGGGAGTGGGTGCCACTAAGCAGGTGAGGGGCTCCAGGGAGCAGGGTGTGGGCACATGAAAAGCAATAGAGAGAGTATGGAGTATGTGGATGGATGAATGAAAGATAAACTTGGTCCACTTCAAGGTCTCACCTTGAGGGGGCAGGAAAGGGTGGGTAAGGGTGGACATAACGTTGTCAAGAGGTGCTGATGGGCAGGGCAGGGCAGGGCTGCACCAAGAAGCAAGTCTGGGTGGAGTAATCAGACCTCAGCACCAAGAGCCCTATCACGATCCTGAGGAGAGAGCTGCCCCTCCTCGACCCTTCACGGGAGCCTGCTCCTGGGTATGCATGTAGCAAGGCCGCTATGGCTCTCTGACCTGGCTTGTGGGACCACTCCCAGTTTCTCCACCTTGGCCTTCCCACCTCCTTGAGCTAAGCTCTAAAAGGAGGCGTGGGCAGGGTGGGGTGGGGAGATGTAATGTCAATAGCTCCCCCAAACCCCTATTGAGGTCGTTTGATGAGAACGCAGACCGGCCCTCGAGAGCTAGTGTCATCACCTTATTGTTGTCATTGTTATCAGCTGCCTCCAGGCCAGGCTAGGGAGTTCCTTCTCTCCTGAGCCAAGGTGGCTTCCAGCAACTAAGATGCTGTATGGTCCACTGTCTCCTTACAGCCACCTCTCCCAAAGGCTCTCTGGGAGGGGCCTCAGGGCCTGGGGATTTTGCCCGCAGGCCACCACACTGGTTGTTTTTGGCCAGCCAGGGTAACTGTACAGGCTTCCTCAACTCTGAGAAGCAGGCAGTGTTACAGGTTTCCTATCTCTATTAGACAAGCTGGGAAGTAAAGAATTTTGCCCATTTTAAGACACAGATGGCTAACTCACAGGCCAAGGTCTTACTGTCAACCAGTAGAATAGAGCCCAGATAGAATCAAGGTTTTCTGACCAATCCAGTGCTGTTTCTGTAATCCCGTTCTGATGAACCCGTGTTCTCTTTGGTTCTTTGCGAAATCCTTGGAAGGTGGCCATGTCAGTCTGGGCTGGGCCCCTGCAGGAATGACATAGGTGCTGATCAGGGACAGGATTTACCTGATCCCAGAGGGTTTGACTGATATCAGTGATCTTGCCAACACGCCAGCACAGGGTTTGATAAAAATCACTTTGCTCTTTACATGTTTTAATTTGATTTCCCTTTACTCAGGTGTATCTAATTTTGTTTTAGGCTGTTTCCTGGAAGACAGTGGCCACTTCTATAGAATTAGCTTTAGGGCTTCAGTCCAGAGATTCATGCCAGGCCTCCAGAGAAGCCATGGGGGTGTGGGGGAAAGAGTAAATGCTTTGGTTTCAAACAGACCTGGATTCAAATATTGGCTCTGGCATTTACTAGCTGTGTGATCTGGGAAAATTCACTTCACCCCTGGTACCCATTTTCTCATCTATAAAATATGATGAGTAGTGGCTGCCTCACAGAATCGGTGTGAGGATTGAAGTTCTGTAAATGAAGCACCAGGCACTCAGGAGAGCGCAAGAAAGGGTGGCTGGGAATAGTGGAGGTCACTGTGTTAGGTCTGGGCTGGTCAGTGGCCTGTTTGTTGTTGACCTGGGGCCTGGGGCAACCACCTTGTCCCCTCTGAGTTCCCTGGGTAATTAATTGTTCTTAAGGCTCTTTGGGTTGGATCTAGTAAACACTTTCAGAATTCCCTTTGTTTCTTTTTAGCAACAAGACTTCCCAGATAGTGGAGTCTCAGGGCAGTGGGATCTGGGGTGGGTATCATGCTTGAATTCCTTGTCTAGGCTCATGGCTCCACCATGAGTGGCCTTGGGAAATCTCTTCACCTCTCTGGGCCTCAGAAATTTGGATGCCTTGGCCTGTAGGATGTCTTACAGCTCTACAGCATTCAGATCCTATCCTTGGGTATTAGCCATCCACCTAGGGAACTGTGTTCTTCCTAGCTAGTGGGAAGCCATGCCCCTCCATCCCGCCTATAAAGGCTCATTGCCTGGCCTTGGATCTTCTGTGGGTAATGTTCTCTAGCTCTGTTTGGTCCCACAGGCCCAGACCAGTCAGAGACTTCCCGAGTGCCTGCCACCCAAGCTGCCTGCAGGGAGTGGTGCTGTGCTGGTACCGCAAGGTGGCTCAATTCCGCCACCTACACCAGCTCTCACAGACCCACACCATGTGAACATACGATCTAAAACAATAGCAATGCACCTTCTGAGGGTAAGTGCAGGGTTGGGACAAGGCCCTTAGCTCCCCTTCAAACCTGACCACCACTCCTAACTAAACCCGTCCTCTCTACACAGGCAGCTTCCAAAGGAGCCAAACCTTGGATCACACCCTGGAGGCCAGGGCGCTGCCAGACCCGACCCTGTGGCTCTGTGTCTGCACTGACTGGCCTACTGAAAAAGCACCTTGGTTCTGATGTCCCAGGACCATGCAATGGCAGGGCTGTCTGGAACTTTAGGGATCATCTATGCTATCTTTATCCCTGAACAAATAAGAAATCAAGGCCAGAAGTGGCAAGTGACTTGCCCGAGGACACACAGCAGGTAAGTACCAGGGCCAGGCCTCAGACCTGGATTTTTTGACTCTGAGTGCTCTTTTTATGTGATCAGGCTGGCCAGGACGGTCTCCCCTGCCTACCATCACCTGCCCCCTCTAGGCTTTTGAGCTATCACTCCAGCAACCTGAGAGAAGTAGAGGGGCTGGGCCCACTCCTGGGCACCTTGTCTGGGGGTGCCAGTGCCTGGCTCCTGACTCCAGAAGTGGCTCCAAGGGGCTGGGTGGGAAGCAGGAGGCCATTAGGACCCAGAAGCTCTCAGAGCATCCTGCTCTGCCTCTCACCGATCACTGCAGTGGTTCAGGCTTCAGCAGCCTTGGAGAAGCATCAGCTGAGAGGAGCTATCACATGGGAGCCGGGAGCTGCTCAGCAAAGGTAGGAGTTGCCGACTAGGCCAGGACCGGGGCCAGACCCAGGCCTGGTGGTGAATGCTGAGGTCCCCTACAGAAGGGTACAGCCCACCCAACCTTATGGTGGGCAGTTTTGTCAGGGGATGGGTTCCCAGGTATCCCAAAGGTGGTATTGGGGTGTGAGCATCTCTGAAGCCTAGAGATGGGGGTTGATCTCCCACCAGCAGGAGTACTCACATCCCGCACACAGACAGGGTTTCCCATCTCTCTTGCTCCATGTCATAGAAATGGATCCTATATCCTAGGAATGGGTCCTTTGGCATTCAGGCCGACAGGCAACTCTGCTGGGGAGAGGTGCTCTAGCCCCCTGGAAATCTTACCTGGCTTAAGAGGGGCACACTGTTGTCTGAAGAGGGGCCCGGCTTGGGGCCTTGGCCTAGAAGCTCTGTATCTGGGAAACAGGTGCATGTGAATCCCAACGACACCTCTGTGGCCTTGGGCTGGGTGCTTCTGTACATCTTGCATCCTGAAGCAAGGCTATTTGTAACTTGACCATTCCCCTGCTGGAGACCCAGACCTCAGCCCCCAGGGTGGCAAAGCCTTCCAGGTACTGAGACGTCCCGGAGGTGAGGGAAGGGTTGTTGGAAGGAAGCGGTGGAGGACAGGAGCATTTGAGAAGGCCCAGTGATACTATCTGGGAGTGGAGTGAGGCTCCCTGGGCTTCCCCTTTGAAACCATCATACCACCACCCTCCCCGCCTTTACCCTAGTCCATCAGTGAGGAAGTTCTGGGGAGCAGGTATATTGGCCCATTGTCAGTAGGTAAATGGGAGTTCTGGAATTTAGGACTCAGTGTGGAGATACTGGCAAGGCTGAGAGGGCTGTGCAAAAGAGAAATGTCCAATGCCTTCTTGCCTAGGGCTCCGTCGTGGCTGCAGAGCGCCCCTCCATCTCCATGTGGAAACCACTTCTGCTTCCCTGTCTGGGACCCTGGGTGCGCCCTGCAGTTACACTCCTGCTGTCCATGCAGACATGATGGGTCTTTACTCCTTTAGCTCCCAGGGCCTCAGAGCCATGTCTTCTGGGCCCCACTCCCAGGCAGAAGGGGTGGGGGTAGTCATAGTATAGAGAGTAAGGGGCACGGATGCCTCCCCTGGTTTTTCTTTCCGCGTCTTTTTCTGACAGATCGTCTTATGAGAAGTGATGGCCCCAGTTCTGGGCCTTCTCTTTACCTTCTCTGCAGACCCTGAGTCTATGTGGCCATGTTAACTGTGAAATGAACTGTCTGCTATCTCTGGGTAGAGGTATGTCCCTAGGTAGTTGTCCAAAGTTAGGGCTGCCTCAAGTCCAGAAAAGAGGCCTCTAGCTGGCACACAACTGATGAACTGAGTGTTCCTGGAGTGTGTACTATGGGGCAGGGATTCAGTTGATCAATTTGAGTTTGATTCAATTCACAAAATTGTATCAAGCACTATTGTATGCATGGCATGCTGCAAGTTAAGTTAGCGAGGTTGGTTGTAATGCCAAAAACCAAGGGTAATTGTAAGACAAACTATGGAGGGGGAAGGGGGCCCATCTGCCCAACATGTGCCTCTTTGTTGCAGTCAGAGAATTAAAAGGTTTTTAATTGAGCCACCACCAGGCCCTCTGTAACCCGGAAACTCACTGAGCCATCAATTGTCATCATATATGGAAACCCTGGAGGTCTGCCAGTCCAACCTTCCCATTTTACAGATAAGGAAACTGACTCAGAAAACTCCTGACTTGTCTGCAGAAAGCCCATCAGACTTGGCATGTCCGTAGTTTGCTTCTAATTTTGATACCTTAGCACACTGTAGTGAGGGAATCTGGACTGCAAAAATAGCAAATGGAAATTTAAAAAGTTAAAATTACAGCTGACCCTTGAACAGTGCTGGGATGAGGGGCATTGGCCCCTCCAAGCAGTGGAAAATCCAGGTGTAATCTATAGTAGACCCTCTGTATCACAGTTCCTCCAAACCCACGTTCTGCATCTGTGCATTCAACCAACCACTGCTCAGATAGTGTAACACTGTAATATTTACTACTGAAAAAAAATCTGCATGTTAAGTGGACCCCTTCAGTTTAAACCCACGTTGTTCAGGGGTGAGCTGTACATTGGGCAGCTTATTTCAATTCCATGCAAACTCAGCATGGATAATGAGACACATCAAACAGCTTTGATCTGCCATTTGATCAGGTAGAAATGAGAGACCCTGAACCCCCAGACTTTTTCCTTTGCCAGTTTCTTCCAGTTTTCCTCTCTGCTTTATTCTCATCCCCTTCTACCCCCACCTCCACCCCACATACCTACCCTGCTCTTACACACATGCCTACTCCTCCCTCCTTGTTCTGGGACTGTGGTAACAGACCAGGAACAGGAGGGTTTTGGCCAGGGGTCCTGCGATGGTCAACTCATGACCAGAGATCTGGGGCCCTGGGGAGTGGGAGGATAGAAGCAGCTCCTCTCCCACCTGTGGGGACACAGTGACTTAGGAAGTTAACGAGTTCATGGGGAAGGGCAGCTTTCATGTGACTTATGCCCTTGTGGCTTCGAGAGCAATGGAAGCTGGATGAGTTTCCTTCCAGCTGGGACGTTTTGTTCTCACTGTTCCTTCTCAACACTCCCCAAGTGGAAGCTCTTTGTCCAGGGGGTGGTGGTGTCACAGCAAACTAAAGTGCAGTCCCTCCACTTTTCAGATGATCTCTCCCTAGTGGTAGCCCCAGTGCAGTGAGAGACATGTTTAGAGATGGTTCAAATTCAACAACTATTTCCTGAATATCTATTATGTTCCAGCCACAGTGGCGGGCACCAGCAAGTGCAGCACGGCATGGTGGGCTGGAGTGCTGGCCCTGGAGCCAGGCCACCTGGCTGAGGACCTGGACCTTGCTACTAACTAACTGTGAATTTTGGTAAGTTATTTAATCTCTGTAGGCCCCAGTTTTATCAACCGCAAAATGAGGATAAGAATTTTATCTACCTCATAGGGTTGTATAAGAATTAAAGTGAGTTGACAGCCTAGAACAGGGCCTGGCATGTGGAAAGCAACATATACTTCATTGTTCATTATTAGTACTTTTATTAATAAATCTCACATCATCTTCCAAACACAGTTGTGAAGCAGGCATTATTCCCTTTATTTTACAGATGGCTTTATGAGGAAACTGCAGTTCAGAAGCGTCACAGAGTTAATAACTCCCAGACCTGGGACTGGAAACCAAACCTTATGCTCCTTCTCCCCAACAGCTCCTGCCATTCTGAGGAGACCAGATATTAGGAAATTCACATAAGCAATCTTAAAACTGGGGCACTATCCTGAAGCTCAGCTGGACCCTGGGAAAAGGAGACCATGGATTTAGAATCTCTGGATAACAGTCCTTGAAAGGGGAGAAGGGTGTGGAGAACAGAGGAAAGGAAGTGGAAAAGAAGGGGCTGGGCACCACTCAGAAGGTGGAGTGTTGAGTGGGCGAGGCTCCTGCATCTCTCACTTTCCTGCTTCTTTGAAGTCACCAGGGTGGACTGGGAGCTAACTCCTGAGCCCTCAGTCACTGGCCTTGAAGGCTGGCAATAAGAGCCTGCCCAAGAGGCTCCAGCAGGAGGCGCTCTCCCCTCCCTCCTCAACACACACACAAAATTGGGAAGCCTGGGCCTGGGCTTGCCATCCCAGGGTCACTGGACTAGGATGGGGGATGGGCCTGTGATTGGAGGTGCCCTGGGTGTCCTCTTTCGGCCCCATGGAGTCCTCACCCATCCCCCAGTCATCAGGGAACTCTTCCACTCTAGGGAGGGTCCCTCAAACCCCAGGTCCTTCTACTGCCAGTGGAGTCCCAGAGGTGGGGCTGCGGGACGTGGCTTCAGAATCCGTGGCCCTCTTCTTCATGCTCCTGCTGGACTTGACCGCTGTGGCTGGCAATGCTGCTGTGATGGCTGTTATCGCCAAGACACCCGCTCTTCGAAAATTTGTCTTTGTCTTCCACCTCTGCCTGGTGGACCTGCTGGCCGCCCTGACCCTCATGCCCCTGGCTATGCTCTCCAGCTCTGCCCTCTTTGACCATGACCTCTTTGGGGAGGTCGCCTGCCGCCTCTACTTGTTCCTGAGCGTATGTTTTGTCAGCCTGGCCATTCTCTCGGTGTCGGCCATCAACGTGGAGCGCTACTATTATGTGGTCCACCCCATGCGCTATGAGGTGCGCATGACACTAGGGCTGGTGGCCTCTGTTCTGGTGGGTGTATGGGTAAAGGCCTTGGCCATGGCTTCTGTGCCAGTGTTAGGAAGGGTCTCCCGGGAGGAAGGAGCTCCCAGAGTACCCCTAGGCTGCTCACTCCAATGGAGCCACAGTGCCTACTGCCAGCTTTTTGTGGTGGTCTTTGCTGTCCTTTACTTCTTGTTGCCCCTGCTCCTCATCCTTGTGGTCTACTGTAGCATGTTCCGAGTAGCCCGTGTGGCTGCCATGCAGCACGGACCACTGCCCACGTGGATGGAGACACCCCGGCAACGCTCTGAGTCTCTCAGCAGCCGCTCCACTATGGTCACCAGCTCAGGGGCCCCCCAGACCACCCCGCACCGGACGTTTGGGGGAGGGAAGGCAGCGGTGGTCCTCCTGGCCGTGGGAGGACAGTTCCTGCTCTGTTGGTTGCCCTACTTTTCCTTTCACCTCTATGTTGCCCTAAGTGCTCAGCCCATGTCGACTGGGCAGGTGGAGAATGTGGTGACCTGGATTGGCTACTTCTGCTTCACTTCCAACCCTTTCTTCTATGGATGTCTCAATCGGCAGATTCGGGGGGAGCTCAGCAAGCAGTTTGTCTGCTTTTTCAAGCAGGCTCCAGAGGAGGAGCTGAGGCTGCCGAGCCGGGAGGGCTCCATTGAGGAGAACTTCCTGCAGTTTCTTCAGGCGACTGGCTGTCCCACGGAGTCCTGGGTTTCCCGACCCGTACCCAGCCCCAAGCAGGAGCCACCTGCTATTGACTTTCGAATTCCAGGCCAGATAGCCGAGGAGACCTCTGAGTTTCTGGAGCAACAGCTCACCAGCGACATCATCATGTCGGACAGCTACCTCCGTCCTGCCCCCTCACCGCGACTGGAGTCATGATGGGCTGATGGACACTTGGAGGGAGATGAGGCTGGGGGCTGGTTATGACTGCAAGGAACTCCTTGTGGGACCACCTTTTCCCAGCTAGCTGGGGCTGGAGTCTCTGCACACAGCTTTTGCTTAGTGTTTTCTGGGTCAGGAGCAGAGCCAGCAGGATGTATGTGTGGCAAAAGCCTTGGACACAGCTTTGAACCTTGACTACTGGGGAGGGAACCTGGTGAGATGGTGACGAGAATAAAAGGTCGTGAAGGTGAGATAATGCCTTTCAACCAGTGAACTTTCCGTGCCTCAGAAAACAGGGAAACTCTAAGGGTAGGAGTTGGAAGATACAGGGCAGCAGGCCAGGCTTGGAGTTATTCTGGGGACCCCTTAGGATATTTCATTTTTCAGTGTAATTGTCCAGGGCAGAAACTGCACCTAAGCAAGGTAAGAAAATGACCCATCTTATCATTTCCTTGCTAGGTTTAAACAGAACTAAATTATAGCCAAGTGTTTCCATTTGAATTAATATATCTTTTTCTAGTTTTAGACCTGAGATTTCCTTAAAGCGAGAGGACTAGCTGGGAATATTCCTTTCTTCAGTTTGGCCAGAAGCAAGGGGAACTAGCATTCAGGGCACACAGAGTAGAAGGTAGGAAAGCTGACTGCAGCTCTCTTCTACTTTCCAGGAACAGCCCTTCTGTTCTATTTTTCCACCTCTCTTGCACATGGGAGATCAAGTTTGGGGCTTAATCTTAGCAGAGGCAAGAATAAAGCAGGATGGCTCTTTCTCCTTGTCTTTTAGGATAAAGAAGTAGAGAAAGATTGGGGGTTGGATGGCTGAAGGTGGGAGTTAGCATTTGAATTGGTAAGGTGGTTGGATACAGACAGGGCCGTAATCACCCTGACCAATAATACTGTAAATCTTTTTTTTCCAGAACTGCCCTCCCTGATCTCTCTCCTCATGGCAGTGACCCATCGCCAGTCCCCTGGACAATCGGGTACAAGAGACTAAGGTTGGGAACTGGAAAGGTGGGGTTTCCATGGTCCATTAAATGCCTCCCCTACTCCCATTCATCGCTCTCAAAATTAGCTTCAGTGACAAAGACTTAAATCTCTCTCCTATCTGTAGCCCGGGGTTGGAGAGGCAGAGGAGTTGGGCTCAACTGTTCACTGATTGATACTGTAGGCACTGTGTTGGTTGTTACTGGTGGGGGTATATTCAAGGGAGAGGGAATAACTGCAAACTGGACAGGATTCCCATCTGGGACTACCTGTCCATCCACTTCCCTCAATTCAATCAGGTAACATTAAAGGGGTCGAGGCAGGACCAGACGGTGGTGTGATCTGTATTTGAAAAAATTCCGGGCTCACTGAGCATCAAAGGGGATGATGGGCCGGTGGGAGTGGGATAGTCTCCCCTTTGAACAGCCAATAAATAATTTTTATTATAAAAAGTTATGCTGATATCAACATTGACTCCTTTAGTTCAATTCAGTGCATAATAGTTGAATACTCTATTCTGTGAGACTCACAGAGGATGTGGAGTCACTGCCTTCCAGGAGTTCATAGTCTAATTTGATCAGGTACCTTGTATTTTGACAGAGCATTTACATCTGGTGAAGTACTATAGGATGTGTTTAAGAAATATATTGAAGAATATGTTCATGGCTCTAACTTCTTAGAGTTCAGCCCATTGCAGCAAGATGCCTATATGGAGGCTTCCTGCAGAATGGAAGGTGTGCGGGTTGTAGATGAAACTCTGGTTGAAGAAAATAATTTACTAAATGAAACTGGGCAGCTTTCCTCCTTTAGATCTAGGAAAATCTCCAGGTTTCTTTCTTCCTACGACTGGACTTCCTCTAGTCCAGTGCCTATTACACTGAGGAAATCCTTTAAATAGCATATACATTGAGCAGAGTCTTTTGTGATTGAAAAACATGTTCTCTCCCTTTCTCTCCTCCCTTTAAGATACACTTACAAGGGAGGAATCTCATTTCTAGACAGAGGGAAAACTTTCAATCACTGATGAGCAAGCATTGCCAGCAGGTGGCAGTGTGAGTCCAGTGGAAATAGGAAAGAGGTATGTGAGGGGGGAGGGGCATTAAAAATTGCCTAGCAGCCATTTTGTTAATTTATTTTGTCTTTTCCTTTGACTTTGCCCTCCAACCCTTCCTTCACATACATCAAAGAAGAAAATTTTAAGTGCAAGGATATCGCTAATTCAGGCTGAAATTTCCTGACACTGTGATCTCACTGGCGTTTATTACAGAATTTGACACATGCTGATTCATTTACCATTTATTTTACCCTAAGTTGATCATGAAGGAAATAAAATTTTCTCTTTTATTATGCTGAGAACTTTCCCAACAATTTCTGTCATGACCACCTTCTGGAGTTCTCTAGTCAAGGTCTCTTGATAAAGTTCCATATGTAATTTAGCTGTGAAAGTTTTTCCTGGATAAAAATTTGATCTCTCAACCACTAAAGAAATCAACAGGTTGAGAATACCATGCTCTCAAGTTATTTTTTTCCTGCACCCTGTGATGCTAGGGAAACTCTCAGTCCTACAGGAAAACCTTCTGTTGTCAGGTCTCCCAGGTAACATCTTATAGTGGCATGGTAGAAAAGGGGTAAATTTGGAGTTATACCTTCTTACTCACTGTGTGAACTTGGAAAAGATGCTTAATTTCTCTGAGCCTATTTCCTCATCTGTAAAAATGGGGATAACATTACCTACCTCACAGGGTTGTTGTGAGGAATAAGAGATGACACTTGGAAGCACCTAGCCATGCCTGGCAAATAGGTACTCAATAAATATTGGTTTTTCTTCCCTTTCCTCTTGCCCTTTTTCCCCATAAGTACTGACTATGGGAAAGCAGTCTCTTTTATTCTAACAGTCACTTGAGAAAGAGTAGGAGACTTTGAACTTTGAAGAACTGGAATTGTAAGTTTTGTTGGACAAGTCTGTTTAAGGTGGCTCTCAAGAAATCCCTCTAATGACCATCAATCATCATATAGAGCTTTCTGATCAGACCTTATATTCTAAGGTTTAGATTCTATTAGGAAAATAATTTTAAAAATATTTTTATTTATTATTGTACTACTTAATTATTTTTATCTTGTTGGGGGGGGGACTAGGTTTCTTTCTTTTTAGAGGTACTGGGGATTGAACCCAGGACCTTATGCATGCTAAGCATGCACTTACCACTTGAACTATACCCTCCCTGCTAGGAAAATAATTTTTAATCACAGGGAAAGGTTTTGGGGGCTACAAGAGTTCCCCTCCCTAGACTATATGGTGAGAGTATCTGTGGGGCTATATGGAAGTAGAGATAATTTAGGGCCACCTTCACCCTAGTATCTAGGCTTCAGAGTGAAAAAGGCTATCAGTCTGAGGCTTTCAGAGGGTATGTCAACTTTCAGGCACTGCTATAGCTGAAAGGCAAATTTTACTAGAACTTCCCTTTTCGTGTGATACTGCAACAAGAAATTTTAGAAGGAGATTCACGGGATGCACTGCTTTGTTTTGGGGTGTGGGACCTTGGTTGGCTGTTCTTGGTGTAAGTCCTAAGCCCCTGAAGCAGGACGATCTGTGAGCACTAAAACTGGCTTGTGTTGGAGAAAGGGAGCATGGAAATTTTATGGAGGGATTACATGCTTACCTTTCAGGTAATACAGGATCTGTTAGCGACTTCAAGTGGCCTTTTGCCAACGTAGGGGCTGGGCAGCTCTCAAGCACACAAGGTACCTATTGAGAGCAGGAGGCGGTAGGACAGAGGAAAGGGCAGAAAGAGATCGATAAAGACGTAGGCATGGTCTTCGGTCTTCAACTATCTCAAATGTGGAGGGTGGCCGGGGCCCAGGCTCCATAATTGTCATTCCATAGATCTGGCTGAGACTACCCCGGCAAAGAAAGTGTCCTACACTTGGGCAAGGGCTCCGGGTGTCCATAGCCAGAGATCAAAGGAGCTTTACTGGTCAGGGAGAAACTCCCAGCAGAAACCCCGGAGCAGGCTGTGGGCTTTTATTTGAGAATCCCCACTTCCTACCTCCAACTAAAGCTGGCTGTATAACCTCGGGAGGGTGCCATGAATCGGAGAAACAAAGTCGCTGGTTTTTCTACATTTATCCAAATAAAGTAGCTGAAAAGGTGAAAGGGGACAAAGTTTGAACCGCGCAAGGCGAGCTCGACACGGCCTCTCTATTTCAAGGAACCGCCGCTCAGCCTCACCTTCCCTCTTTCCGTACTTCCGCTTTCGGTTGCACCTCCCCTACCTCAGCTAAAGAGGCCCGAGCCGTAATAGCCGCCGGGCGTTGCCGGAAGTGTCGTAAAACGACGGATATCCGGTTCCTTCGGGCGCTCCGGGAGCTGACGGAGAGGGCCGCCGCCCAGCAGTAGACGGTATCTCAGCCGGCCGAGCCGCAGTCTCCGTAGTGTGTGAGTGAGCCCGGGCCCAGTCCCCTCTTCCGCCGCCGCCATGGGCTGCACGTTGAGCGCCGAAGACAAGGCGGCGGTGGAGCGGAGCAAGATGATCGACCGCAACTTGCGGGAGGACGGGGAGAAAGCGGCCAAAGAAGTGAAGCTGCTGCTGCTCGGTGAGGGGCTGGGGGCGGGGCTGGCGGGGTGTCCCGGAGGGCCCAGGCCTTGAGGAGGTCTGAGGGGGTCGGGGCGGGTGGAAAGGACCCCGAAGGATCTGGAGGGCGTGACGGGCATGAGGCGGGGTGTGGGGTTGGTGGCTGAGGCCCCGAAGGGCGTGATGAGGGGTGGGGTTTTGGGTTTGTAAGAATTAGGCTGGAGAGAGGGTGTGACTCCATGCTGGAATTGCGATTAACGAAGAGAGATTGAGAGTGTGGTCCAGTAGGACGTTGAGACTGTTAGGAACATGGGAAGAGCTCATAAAGGATGAGCTGATATTAAGGAAGGTTTTGCACGGGAGGGGTTGGAGTGAGTTGGTATTGAGATTGTATAATAGTTTGTGAGTTTGGAGCGTGGTGATAACTTTATGACAGAATAGAGCTGGGAAGCTTGAATGATTAATATAAATAGAGAGGGGCTGGGACAGAGCGGTCACTTAGAACCCTGTCGTTTATTGGAGAATGGGCATTTTGAACTGTCGGTAAGGCGGAGGAACCCTGAGTTATCCAGGAACACGAAGGTATGTGGTCGAGATAAATGACAGGGTCTCAGGTATAAAGGAAAAGAGCTTGGGTGCAGAGCCTGTGTGTACTTATCCAGTCTTCTATTATTTTTATTCTCTTAAGGTTTTATAACTTCTTCCCTTGTTTTTATAAGGAGGAGGTGGTATGAGCTGAGGAAATACAAGGATTGGCTTGTTTGAGGTTTGTGGCATAAGATGTAATGGACAGTAGATTTACACAGTGGGAGTTGCTGGAGGTTGCTGGGGATGATGTGCAGTGGGAATGCAGTTATCTTAGGATAAATTATGGAATTGGACATATTTGCTATAAAAGGTGTGACAATGACAGGCTTCTGGTAAGTTGTTTTATGTTTTTTCATTTCTTCAAACTAAAAATATTGGCTTCAGGAATTGCTGTTTATTTTACTTGACATTCATTTTTAAGTAGCTTTTATGTACAGTCAGATGCATTTTACTCAGCATGATTAGTTTTAGAATTTTTGAGAGACTGGTTTTTAGAGGCTCAGTAAACCATGTAAAATACCCTGGCATCAGCTTACCAATAAATCAAGCCTCATTTCTTCACTATTAGTATTTTCTAGGGATCTGTTAGGGAAGAATAAGTAAGAGTAATGGTTTCTGTAAACAGTAGAACTTTACTTTTTAAAACAATTGATTTTTGAGAAAAAGAAGTTGCTTTAGGAGAAGTGCCAAATTTTTATGGTGTAAAGCTCCAGAGAACAGAATGCACCACCATAACCCGAGGTTTATTTTGTAGTCCAGGATGGTCTCAGGGCCCATGCTAGTCTCTTAATGTTAACATGTTTGATGATTTGTAGATTGCAGAAGCCCTGGTAACAGCTTTCTGGATAAAGGGAGAAAGTTATGCTTTGGAGCTTGAGCTTTCAGTTTAAATACCTGATCTTAGAGAATGTATGAATTCAAATTGAAGTTCCAGACTGCCTCTCTCTGTGTAATAGCTGTCATTTGTGAATGAGCATGATCACTAGCAGATAGTAGGTGCTTCTTAAATATATGCTATTAACCAGCATGAACTAGCTGGTGTTGAACTTTGCTCCTTGGGGGTCTTTCAGATGTTCGATATAAACCATAATACTCAAGGCATTAGCATTATCTCTGTTGATCTATTGGTTATGAAAGTAAAGGTGTATTTTCATCTTCTGTGATTGTTTTGATTTACGTTCACCATCAGAGATCCCCTCAGGACATTAGTTAGCCTATTGTGGTATAGTCATACACTGTGAGGCTTTCTTCCAAATGGCGGGGTTTGGCAGGCAGAACTTAGGCAAACGAACTTGTCCAAATGTCTAGAAAAATCTTTATTTAAAAAAACTTTATAACTATTGCATTTAATTAAAAACAAAATTAAACACGTGGTCACTTAGGGAACTTCAAAAGCAGTAGGTAAAAAAGTACAGAAACATTTGCTTTTAATTTTTATCAGTTTTGTTGTAAGTAAGATTTTTTTCACTATTCTTGAACAAGTTAAATTAACAAATTCAAATAGGTTGCAGAGACAGACGCTCTTGGTTAAACCATATCATAACACACATGAAATTAAAGTTACCTTCCCTGCTGTTTCTGTAACCAGAATGCACTTATCACATCAAACAAATAATTTTCTTTTTACTGTAGAATACCTCCTTTGATGTACACGCAAGGCATTTTTACTTCATCACTGCAGAACTATCAAATTTACTCAAGTTGAGATCTGTTTACTTACTCTTGTCTCTCCTAGCACATAATAGTTACTCATTTAATATTACACTATTTCCTTCCTTGCAAGGATGTGGTTTAGCTTAGTGATTTAACAACATTAGCTCTGAAGTCAGACTGTTTCAAATTCTAATTTCCATTTATCAGCTATAAGCTTGGTAAAGTTATTTACTCAATTTCCCTCTGCCTCAGTTTCCTCATCTTTAAAGTGGAGAAAATAGAGGTACTTCTTAGAATTGGTGTGAGGATTGAATATGATAATAATGTGAAGTAGAACACAGCCTGGCACAAAGTATTAGTGTAATGAATATTAGCTATTATTATTAATATATCAAAATCAATGTTACAGATTAAAGGTACTATAGAAATTCAGATTAGTTATGGAAGAATACTGTATTATAATTCTTTGGTTACCTTTGGTTTAAATTTCTTTTAGATGAGTTATTGAGAAGCTCTTGATATACCAAATTAGTGTTTAAT